TTATTATTATTATTATTATTATTTTATTTAAAGTTAATAAAAGGCTTAAACCTTAAGTATAATATTAAACTTATAATAAAATAATTATTATATACCTATTATTAATAATTAATTTAAAAATAAAAATAAAGGAATATATTTATTTATAAAAATAAAAGCTAAAAAACTTAAAAAATAAATAATTAATATTAAAAGCCTTTTAATAAAAATATAAAACTTATAATAATAGGTAAAGTTAAAGTTAAAAAAAGAAAAAGGAAAAAAAAAAGAAAAAACTAACGTTAAAAAGGTTAACAATATATTAAAAGGTATATAATAAATAAATAGCCTTAAAGTTATTAAATACCTAGGTATATAAATGGGGATACTCCTTTAATTATTACCTATTTTTTATATACTTATAATCCTATTATTAGGCTATATTAAACGGTACTCCTTATAGGCTACCTTTTATTAATGCTTTAAAGGTAAAGCATTTATAGGAAGGGGTATTCTATTAAGGAACATTATAACATTAGGGTAAAAATTACCCTAAAGGGTAAAGACAGCATAGAAATTAACTATATAAAGGTATCCAGGCTCCCTTTTTATATTTAGGAAGCTAGGAATTAATAATATTAAACCCTTACCTATACCTTTAACCTATCTACTTCCTACGTACTACTTACTGGTAATTTAGCCTCACTCCGGGACAAACCCCTATAACATCCTAATATAAGATGAAAACTACCCAGTGTGCAAGGACGAGTGGTTGAATGATAATTAGTCTTCAAACAATTTGTAACATGGTAGCCAAGTATCCTAAAAGCATTCAACATGCATTACTAATCACTGTCGGTGAGAATATACCATCCGTACCACGCGGGAAGTCAGAAACGCTCGAGCATATGTCAAATGATAATCTGCTTGACAAGTTGTATTTGGAAGGGGGATATTTCGCAACATGCAACAGCCAATGCCCTTTATGCTACTCGAGAGGTGAGTGGAACTATGCAAAACGTAATCATATAAGGTCGGTCAGGATTTTTGCGTTGCTGTATTAATGTGCGAGCCAAGTATAGGTACCTACGCCACAATGCTCGCTATACTATTACGGGGAACAACATAATTACTGTCCGGTTGACTTGAATCTTCCAATTGAACGTCAGATGACAATGATGGACATTGCTAAATCATCGGTATTTGTTTTTCATTCTCGAACAGCCAAGCTCCTTGAGTGTCATGATGAGCTGAAACAGATACCAACGTTGAATCTGTTAAATATTTCTTCAAATATTGGTTAGCCTCTATTACCTCAAAAGGCTGGAGAGTTTTTGTTATATACCAGCGGATTAACGGGTGTAATTACCGAAAGGGATCATTTTAACTGAGATAGAAATCACGAACTATGCTGTATCGAAAAGCGCCCTCCTAGTAACGACTCCTAAGGGATCACGTCATTCAAGTGGGGAAGTGAATTTTTTGTTGAAAATATGTCAATACAGATTGGTCTTACAGTCGTCATCTATCGGCCCTGCTCGCTAATAGGACCTAACGCACGCAATGATAATGCCTTGAACTTGATTATTCTTAACTCCAAGACGACCAACACAATTCCCGACGTCCCAAATGCATTTTTATTATTATTTTGAGGATGTATCTAAGGTGGCAGTCAGGACGATGGAGCCTGAAGATTTAGATGGAATGGTCCTCTATCGACACTATAGTAGTGGTGTGTCAAGACTCCCTTCAGCCAGTTAGGTTCACGAATAGAGTCTACATATACCGTCATTGAAATGGCAGATTGGATAAGTGAAACTTTTGAGCTCGGCATTGAGGATCTAATTGTTAATTATTTGAAAGATACTCTGTTTGCAGGAGAACAGTTGACTTTTCCTTACCTCAGGGGGTTTGATAAAGCGTATTATTGTAGTAGTCTAGCCATACCACTGCAAGAGATACGAGTGTAATTCAATTACGCCCTTTTCTATCGCTATATCCCCAGTTGAGGCCCTGACCACGACCAAGAACCAAAATGGACTAGGGTAATTTTCCGCAACGCAATTATGGTAGCGGTGCATCGAAGGTGACTTTGAATATGTATGAGGGTGGGGGGATTATCAGCTTGTATGTACCTATTCTGCCTCCTACCCCTCTTACAAGAGACAGACTAAGCTGCTTGTGATTATACTGTGAGATAGTCATACGCGTAAATTGCATATTCACCATATCTAGTTCACTACATACCGAACTTGGGGGTGGAATAAGTAGACGGTCTAATTTACCTACCTACCTCAGTAGCAGCAGAGGAGGACGCATACTATGTAGGTTTCGTACTATTTGATGATGTGCCGTGTCAGTAATCTCGCGAATATATGCAGGTGAGCCAATGGTGAAGCAAACAGGCAAAGAGAGGTCAGTAAGAGGTGAAAGAGAAATCAAAAACGAACTGGGGCTAGAGAAACTCAGCCGCTTCGGTTGGCTTGAAGGCTCCTTTCTTCGCCACCCCTTGTGTATTATGTATACGACCTTAATGTCGCATTCAGAGTACGCACTGAGTATACTGTACTATTGTGTATCCTCCAAGCTGCTATTCTGAGGTGATTTTGGGACTTGGCCCCCTCTTATGGTAGCCAATGAGTAAAGCTATCCTTGTTTATTGGTTTACGATGTCACGCGATACTGAATTTGGTTTGATTCTTCTGCAACACTACACCAGATCCTGCGGCGTATGATCACAAGTGGTCAGATATGTGTAATTGAAAATTCTCAAGTACTTTCTTATGCTAATAGGTTACCAAGGGCGGCGTGATTTGTCTGTATGTCATTGTAGAATCACAAGGATTCAATCGTATTCGCTGCTCGTGGCTGGTCGGGCCTCGGTTGTGGATCTGAGATCGTCGCGCAAAAGGTATGGAACGCTCGTGATGGGCGAGACCTCAAAGACGCTTCCGGCGAAAGAAGGGGCCTAGTAATCTTGGCATGCAAGCCCATCTGTACGTAAGTACATATACGTGTCTGTACGGGTTATTTTTGTCCAGCTCTCTTAGGGCATGTAACTGTGGCGCAAAAGCTTTCTGCTTCGGTCTGCTTTGGACGGCCAGAGACGGCCATCATACAGACATGTATACGCGAAGTTGCTCGGATGGACTGTTTGCTAATTACACTCGTCATAGAGGCACTATCAACGAGGGGGTATGCTCGGATCTGGTCAGGGGTATTGTTTAAGATTCATGCGCAAGTCCCAAATCCAGGCCTATCGAGGCCTATTGTTCCCAGATTTCCACAAGCTTCCCGTCTGACTACACTGGACTGAGGTTAGTGCAGTCTGGGGCCCCAGATTTACTCTGCTCCAATGAAGCCGCCAAGAGGCTAAGATGACGATCTGTCTGCCCTCTTCTGACTGCTTTTGGCTTGATGTCAATGGCTAGCTACAGAATGAGAAAGAGATCTGGGCCAGCCACTGATTTTACGGCATAGATACCAAACTCACGTCATGATACGCTGTAAGCTTACATGCAGGCTTCTCCTATTCTCCCGTTGAGATACATACGAAGTAGAAAACTCAAGGCTTCGTGCACTGCTACTGCATCGTATTACACCGGCTGCACGCGCACTGATTGGTAGCGATCGCGGCTGAATGCTGTGTCTGAAGTGAATGTACGTGCTCGTGCACTGCTCGTGCTACTACTCGCCTACGTTGAGTAACAGTACCTCAAGACTTCATGCGTCATAGAGAGAAGCATAGCACCATGACACCGGTGGCGAGGGCAATTAACATGTTACCAGAATCTCTCGGTATGTTGTCATAGCTTGGAATGCTAGACAGAGCCAAGAATTACAAGGAAATATATATACCACCTTTGAGGCACAACATGCCGTATGCCAACTCTGATCCTTGATTGCCGTTACGTAAGGCGCCTATCGAGGCAAGGTAGCATCACCAATTCGACAGCTACCGCAAGGGATGGCCCTTCGGGGCCATGACCTGCATAGGAAGGAATCGGGTGGCGGAGTCTTGTTCCCGAGTTTACCAAGCATTGAATCATTGATCGGGCCTCCTCCTCCTCCTCTTCACTACACCTATTCAGTTCCTTCCAATCGGCTTCGGGCCCTTGGCGATCACCGTTGCATTATGAAAACACCTGCAGACACGAGAACGGCAAGGGAAAGGGGGATGACAGCGCTGGGTCTTTGTTCATAAAAGAGGCTGAGCCGTCGCCTTTGTTGCCTGGTTTTCTCTTTTGCCAATTCATCTCCAACCAAAACACATTCGCTTTTTCTAGCCGAGCCAACCTTTGCGTACACTCGTTCACGCAGTCTCGTCTATCATCATCTATAACAACAATTCATCGGCAGATTACCGAAAAAGAACAAGGAGACAATATGAAGTACATCACTGCAACTCTGGCCTTTGCCGTCGCCATCGCGTCCGCCCAGGATCTCTCGACTATCCCGGCATGTGCTCAACCTTGCATCGACTCAGCTCGCACAGAGGCCACGGACTGCGGCGAAACCGACTACAAGTGCATCTGTTAGTGGACTTGCAACCTTTCTTCAATGTCTGATATCCGCATCGATACTAACAATCCAACAGGCAGCAACGTTGAATCTCTAACCGCCGCCGCCACTACCTGTGTCTTGGAGGACTGTGGTCAAGATACCGCCATCAACGAAGTCCTCCCAGCTGTCCAAGCTTTCTGTGAGGCCGTCAATAACGGAGGCGGCGCAACATCTGAGCCTACTTCAGAACCTACGTCCGAGCCTACATCTGAGCCCACCTCTGAGACTACCTTTGTGCCTACTTCCGAGCCGACTGTCACAGAGGTGCCCACCAGCGTCTCGAACCCCATTACAATCGAGACCCCTCCCCTCAGTTCCACCCCGGGCGGCAGTAATGCCACCGCAACTACCTCGTCCACTTCCTTAATCCCCACCGCTGGTGCTGCTGTCGCCGGCTCCATGGGCGGCTTTGCCATGGTGATCTTGGGCGCTTTGGCTGCTTTGTAATCGGCCCCCGCGAGTTACATTAGAGCACGAGGATACAAAATGATGCGGAAGATCTAAAGTTGGCGAAAGTTGTGAAAAACGTGTCATGTAACCTAGTTGTACCATTAATAATTTAGTATGTAATGTGTTGTTTCTGGCCTTGACACGGACGGGCTCTTCGATTACGATAAAGCCGTGTCAGGCGGAACGATTATAGCATATCAATCTTATGCTACTATTCCCTGGGTATTCTCAGCGATATCAAACAACATCATTCTTGAGTACTTGATGATGTGAATTGCTCCTGTAGAACAGAATCCAACTTGCTCGACTTCATCAGTAAACCATTCTTCACACATTTACAGCAATATAATACCCAAATAGTGAATGTGATATAATTCAAATAATCAACGTGATATGTGCCTTATTTGATTCTACACTTCCCCTATTCACCACCATAATCGAATGTTGTCTGCATGTTATTCCAGAGAATATGTCCGAGCTCCGAGAGATGGATGTTTAGACAGTGTCGTGATACCACATAATATGGGCGCAGGTGACCAGACTTCTGATTCAGCAAAATTCCATGTGTTAGCATTCTCGGAGTATAGTGCTACCTTTCCATTTGTGACCAACGGGTACCGTATATAGTGTACTTATCATGTTATTACACTCGGGTCTATATACCTTCCACGACTCGTGTGACGCAGCCGAGCAGATGGATCAACGTGAAGCCTTCGAGCTGCAGCGAACCCGTCGCACTACATATAATGCCGAGATCTATGTGCATTGGCCCGTCAGGCAAACACGGATTCAGGAACATAGCTACTTTGAGCAATTCAAATTAAGAAGAAAGGGTGGCCTATGCAATCAACTTACGACGAACACACACAAGTAGGAAGATGTAAATACATTAGGACGTCAAATTGAAGAGGCAGGTAGTACAGTCTACCCGGCCCTGTGCTGTCTGTTCCAAGCTATGATTGATCATGCGCCTGTCGTGTCAAAGGGCTGCACTACGTGATGCGTGATAACTTGAAGCCTCAGGATCGCTCGAAAGTACACAACTTTAGTCTCTTATTTCAGTGTTTGATCAATGTCATTACTGAAAGGTATGTCGGGCTAAGTTGTACATGTGCATGCTGAATTTTGAACCAAACCCATCATCCTCTCAGGAAAGTCACTATATTAGACCAGACGAGCTGCAAACACTCGTACCCCCTTGCTATTTTATCAGTATTTCCACGCCATATTTAGTTCCTTTGATTCATATGAACAACCGCGCCTTGAGCAAGGTATGCGCCATTCGCGAGCACATTTCGAAGGGCAAACTGTGTCGGCCCTTCTCAGGAGAGTATAAGCTAAGTCTAACAAAGGACCGATATGTGAGGTGAAGGTGAAAACGGATAGTAGAAGCTTTTGGTAGACCTCGTCATGTTTATGTGTAGTTATGTTGTATAGTTGAGGCAAGACAGTAACACCATCACATTGGGTAATACGGCTAGATTAGACATCACGCCTGCTGGCGCATGAGTCTCCTGTCTCTGACTCGCACGCGAAGAATTACTCTATGCTGACTGTTCTATCGTGGGCTGAATTTAGTGATAGAGCCAGATTGATTCTACCTGTAATCTGTTCCTTCTATCTTCTTACTAGTCAAGCTTCCGACTAGCGAGCCATCGTCATCGTCAACTTCAAGAATCATGAGAGATACCGTCGAAATCAGGCGACGATGGCAATATTAGCAATTTTCCTCTAAGCCACCTCATTCGGGCGTAAAAGGATAGACCTGCTCTCGGCGAAACAAGCTGCGGGACGATGCTCTTGGCCTGCGATTAAAAGGATAAAAAAAACCTCCTATGTCTCAGTCATGTCTTAAAGGACTCTTTTCAAGTTGAGAACGGCACTTCCCGAAAACGTTATCTCTAACGCAAACAAAAGTTCCCTCCTGCGCGAAGAAAACACCACCGCCACGTGTCGTGTTCGATTGATGCTAGCGAGCCTAGATGTTTCGAGCGAACCGAAGCTGTGGGACAAACCGTCATTGGTTTTAGGTACCTGACTACCGCCGACAAACACCAAAGATGTCTCCAACGGGTAGGTATCGTGAGATGTATGTATGTACTTACCTTTTACCAGTGGACCACAGATGGATGGGTTAGACTACCTCTCGTCGTCCCATTTCTCACCCGTCTGTCTAACCATGACAAAGTCCAAGGCGGCGGGCGCGATGGTCTTGGTATTTCCCTCCCCAAGACCGGCACTGCACGAGGCCTTACGAGTAGCCGGGCAAGCAAGCAATTCAGGACTTCCCGGCCCGCTCGCTTCGCTAACTTACTGACTGACTGATTGATTGATTGGTGACAAGAGGAAGGAAGAGCGAGGAAGAAAGAAGGAAGGCAATAATTAGCTATGTAGTCGCCACAAGCCGAAACTTCTGAAGTCATTCATTCATCGAGCCATTATAAAATAGACTCGAGAACCGACATCCAAGTGAACAAGATCGTGCTTGGTGCCTCTCTATATGCTTCTCTCACAACATTAGACAGGCTTGATGGTGGCCATCCATACAATCTTGAAACTTCCTGTCCATTGATTCCGGTCTCCCTTTTGCGTTGGATAGGACTATATTCCACCGGCGTAGACACCCGCGAACAGGACATCACCTTCAACGCAGCTCAGCGAATAGAGAAATTTCCTGCTCACCAAATCAACGCGACGCCCCAGGTGTTGGTTGACAATTGGTTCTGTCCGCCGGGGTGAATAGATAGGTCTTTCGGTTGTTTCGCCATTGACCCCGAACACCACACATCAACGGTTCGGGACACCATCTACCTACGGACTACCATCTAGCACCGGCCGTCATCGCATACACAAATCTATGGTATCCCCGCGTCAGCCAGTCAGTCCGCTCCCCTCGCGCACGATATACACCATATACTACTCCTCCCTCCTCTCTGTGATCTCAACTCAGCCAGGCTACAAATCCGTTGTTCAGAAGATGTGCACATATTACTACCTCCACTACCACCACGTGGCGCCATGTAGCAAGGGGATAGAGTACGCGATCCAATATTCCTTCTGTCCAAACGCGACAACGACAGAGACGTATCATCAGCTCCATCTCGGGAATACTTCCTCCTCGTTCTCCTCGTCCTCGTCCTCGTCCACATCGAGGAGAGGACACCGGGAAGAAGCAATAGAACGAGAAGAAAGCCAGCTCATACAACAGCCCTGCTCATCGCTCACGCACGCGGACTATCCGGCGCAGCACCAGCAGTTCAGCAGCACCATAGTCGACTACTACAGCAACCCGTGTGCGACGGGTGGCTGCTTGCTGTCGCAGCACTGTGCGTCCGGCGGCTGCAGGCTGGACGAGCTGGGCGGGCGCTGGGCGTGTTGTCGCTGCGGGTTTCGCGGCGGCAATACCTTCAGGTGGTGCGTCCACCGCGTGCGAAAAGTCCCCGACGCCCTCTGCTATCACGTCGTCTGCAGGGGCTGCCGGGCGGATTGATTGATCGATTGCGTGACTAGCTGAATCTTGCCTTTATCGGCTAACTCCTAGGGGAGGGAAGATGAAAAGTGGAATATGAATGGCAATATGCACAATGCGATAGATGGGGTAGAGAGTTATGTAGATTGATAGATAGGGGGTTGGAATGAGGCGGTGAGAATGAGTTCGGCTTGATGTCGTCGGCCGTTCTCATGCTTAGGTGGAAGATGGATAGATCAATAGATAGATACATGGATAGATAGACGGGTACCCAGCCATCTCCCGTAGCTGCGCCAGGATCGCAGGATGATCGCATGATACTTGGGCAAGAATCGGCTTCGTTTCGCTTATAATAGACCGTTATTTCATACAGCTCCAAGTTTATCTTTTCTTCAAGAAAGCCAGACGCCGCGCTTTTCCCACAATTCAATGATGTCAGAGCCTACGTTAGGTATAAAGCCAGATCCAGAAGGTGACTTATTCTTCACTCAGTGGCGCAAATAAGCGCATTTCGTACATGGGGACAAGAACTAAGCCATCCGTGTTTGCGGCGTCTTCGACTCTCAGGGGCATACATGCGTCCCTACATACATACATAGACATATATTGATTTTCTGCCCAATGCTTATCATGAAGAAACGGCTGCATGCCGAGTCATCCACTTCAGGAAAGAAAACTCAGATCTTCGCACGCAAGAAAAGCCATTATCTAGGGTCGTGGGATCCGTGCTGGCTCGCTGGCTGGCTGTAATTCTCGTATTAGATATTGAAAAATGTGTGAGGACAAGGCTATCTCGAGCATGGGAAGATAGAAAACGAGGCGTTATTTCGAGATCTGCGCGGCCGTGGCTTTCGAGTCCGATCATGACTTTCCCAGAAGATTCTACGCACAACGCAGGAGTCTCGCATCGAGCGACGATGTTCAATTTTAATATGGGAGGCGGGGAGAATATGTGTATATATATACATGAACAGAACTTGGATTTTGATTTTGATACATAAACCAAGCATTCAGAGCGTTGAGCACAGGGACCATTAACGGAGTCATCTCAAACCTTAGGGGCTCAGCGACTTAAACATCACTCACTCCACGCCTTGTTTCATAACGCCCGACTCTTATTGATATTTAGTCTGTCTTTATAGAATGGTTCTAGCGCGAGCCACAAGCAGCTTGTGACAACCACCTCCAACTCGACCGTTAGAAAGGGGGAGAAATAAAACCACCAAATATGTGTACAGAAACGGCATACACGCTTAGGTGTGAGCACGTCGTCACCCGCAGGCTCTACTGCTCAGACGCTCCTCCTCCGCCCACGAACCCGCGGTCTCGAGGGGGTGAGCGAAGGACCTGCAGAAAATGCATCCGCAACTCGGTGCCCTGGCCGCCGCCGCCAGAATATGGAGGAGCGCCCAGCCGATGCCCCTTAGCCAGGTGTCCGTACGAGGAGCGTGGCGGTTGTTGGAACTGCTGTTGGTGTGGGAAGGAATGGAACGAGAAAGGTTAGTTTAGCTTAGCCCGTGCACACAGTAACACACAGACGAACCAAAGAGAAAGGGGAGAAAAAAAAAAAAAAGAGTGTGCATTGCACATAAATGTCTCGCAACCGCTGATTCGTCTCTAATTAGGCCGCTGCAGTTGCATCATGATCATCGATAGGCAGGAATACCGGTGCGATCACATCTGCTGCGAGACATGCGAGGCTGCCACCGAGCATTAATAACCAGTTTCGTCGTGCGTGCATTGACCGCGAATACCCCCGGCATGCATAACAGCAACTTGAGACGAAATGTAACCGGCGTGCGGGAACGTTTAGATTGCTCCCCCCCCGCGTGAGACGAGCCACGGCATCAAACCCTTTTCCCCCCTTCCCCATTGCCAACCTAGTTTTATCAGTATTATACGCATATCTTGTCCAGTTGGGTTCTAGACGAGCCGACGAGCTGAGCCAAGAAAAACAGAATTACAGAACTTTTCTTCTTCTTTTCTTTCAACCGTCGTTCAGATCTCCAAGCGCTTCTCATCTGCGACTAGTCGTAAAGTAAGAAAGAAAAGAAATCCACGGCAGTTTTTTTTTTCTTTCTTCAAATCTGAGACATTACAGGCATTCATCCGAACCTGCTGATTCGCACACCCCCCTCTCCCCCCTCTACCTTGCACTGCATAGCGAGGCGTTGAGGCTTTAGTATCAGTAATCGTGTAGGGACTTGGTTGGTTGGGCCGGGGAGAGCCGGCTTCACACAAAAGATGCAACATGACACGAGAGCCTCGGGCTGAGGAACATGCGGAGGAGGAGGGAGGAGAGATATGGGGATCTTGGCGGGACTATGCGATGTCATCCCATAAACTAGCGAGCACCGAGCGGGGAGAAGCGACGAGATGGGATGAGATGAGGGTGTCCAGCTGTCACATAGATCATGAAGGTGGTCTAATCCACGCCAGAAGGGACAAGGGCCCGAAGTAGACAGTCTCTGGGAGATGATAGGAGGAAGGAAAAAGAAAGGGAACATGCAACGTGAATAAGCTATTTATGATAAGACTAGGGTCTCAAGTTACGCGGTAGGCTGAGGGTCCGTTCCAGGGGTTGCCTGCCTATGGTAAGTCCAGTAACCAGGTATACGGGCCCGATCTTCCCGAGATCTACTGTAGCCGATCTAGATCAGAGGTGGAAGGATGCATGTCGCTGAGATGACACTGGTACGCCACTAGATTGATGGGAAAAAGTGCGACAAGCCGCCAAGGAAAAGCAAATCCTGGGGGGCGAGTACTATTGGGTTGTAAGAGAACTGGGAGTATGCTGGCGATATGCGTATTCCGGCGTCACCTTTCTTCTGTGTATGGGGACGGACCTATAAAGCTGTGTTGGAGCCTGGTGAAGAGTCCAGGTTCAGGGGACTTGACTCACCAACGTCGTGTTGCCGCCGTCTCTTCCGTTGTCTTTAAATAAAAAGAAATTGCTTGATACACTGCCATGCTGCAGAATATCACGTCTGTGCCTGTATGTGCCGGTTGGCTTCATGCTTTGTACACGAGCTATGCCTCTGGATGACGAGAAACTGGGTTCTTCTGCGTGGCAAGAAACATACGAAGCTGTCCCTAGCGTGTGAGGTTGGAAAGTCAGTCTGCCCCTGAGTTCGAGCCGCATATATAAGACCATAGAGCCTCAAGGACAATTAATCTAGAAATCATGCAACATCTTCATTTCCTGATTCCTTTCAGGAGTCCCGTAATCCATTTTATGAGCGCCGCCAATCTCACTCACCATTCCCTTGCATCATTCATCATGTGTCATGGACACCCCCATTATCATCCATGTTCTCATACCTCTATCAAGTGGTTATATTGTCCCGAGGCAAACTTTGACTTAGCGACAGGCTATGAGGCTCCATGCGCCAACCCCATATATTCGACCGCTCAGCCCGTCAAGACCGATTGTCCTTTGAAGAATTGCAACTTCAAAGCACTGAAAGGAAGTTGGAGCTGTTGCACGTGCGGGCAAGGCCCCAACACACAAGGATGGTGCACTGTTGTGAGGCAAGTTGTGGATTGGAACCCGGTCACGAAGAGGATGGAGAACATGGACGTGCCTTGCGGGCATGGTTGCTGCGGCATGTGTAGCCGCTATCGTTAGTTGTGCTGGCGTTATGAGCGTACAAGCTGTGACACTGACTCGTTGACTTAAGCGTCCTCAAGGCAATCGACGCCAGAGATGTCATTTGCCGAGATCTGCAAAGGAAGGTCCGGTCGCAAAAGCCATGGCAATAGTAGGCTGCCCGGACACAGGCGACCTTCGGCGTACGACAACAACTTCGGCGGAAGCGTCGCGGCCGTCGTGGACGATTCGCCAGCTACCACCTCTTCAGTAGCACACACCTCGCGAAGCTCGCGGAAGTCCGCGTACGACACTGGTGTAGATTATTTGACCAAGAAGGCCAAGGCAACGAGCAGTTGTAAGAAAACAGGATATAAGCAGAGAAGCTAGTTTTTATATGCAGCAAACCCCGTGGGCGAGCCAAGTTAGACAGGGAGGCTGCGTTGTGAACATGTGTCTCAGGGGTTGGCGGGCCGAGATGAAGAACATCATGCGGGACTTCGCTTGGATCAATGGCATGGGAGTCTAAAGGCAAAGCGATCACTATGTTGATAGGCTCAACACAGCGAGCACCAACCTGTGGCCACGTAACTTAGATAACAGTACCGGGATATCTAGTAGTGAGTCCATGCTGTTCCTTGTTAAGGTGTACAAGCTCGAGTAAGGTGTGTCGAGACCATGAGTCGTCGGGTCAATGTTGTCGAAAGCGGCAATACACCATACAGATATCATTGGCAACGCTGTAGGCTAATAATGAACAGCCCAGCATGCTCTACCATCAATACTACAAAAGATAAAATCGACAGTGACAACCAGACATGGTAGCGTAGCGCTGAGACATTGACTACCTACAATGAAAGATAGCACTGAACCGAGTACTCATCTGCCTAGGAAAAGAGAAACATTGTTTGACTTACTCACAGAATGCCTATAGTATTTGTTTGTGATTCAACCGGCACCGCGCCGCGCTCTCAAGATTCTGAGCACCATGCAAAGCGAAGGTCTACAACCCTTAGCTTATTGATAGTCGTCGTGCACACCACACAAGTTGCCAACGGTGCGTATGTCCACTGGTGAATAAATTCCCAATGCGTTATCAAGCAAGGATCCGTAATTCGAGCCCACGCCCATGCTACGTTGAACGCAATGGAGGTTCAATATAGGTGGTGTACTTGGCTTGGAGACTTAGAGGCGGTGCGGTAGCCTGAGTAACGGAGTAAGACAAGAGTGACTGCGAGTTCACAGCAGGATGGCCAAATCTAGGTCCAATGCGGCACCGAATGAAATGGACATGAAAGTGGTGCGGTGCTGCGGCCTTGCGAAGAGGAAGGGGCCCATGAAGGGAAATATCACTCCGGCGAGAGTGTGATACCTTAGTGGTTTGCTCCTATCGCCCGGCTTATTCGTCCGCCGACAAGATTCTCGTCGCTCAGTCGCTTACGTACCTTGCAACGATCCCTACTCTATGCGAGAGACTGGGTTTGTCCCAGCCTTAGGCCAATGAAGCGAAGCTGGCTTTTGATGGTGGGATGGAAGGGCATTCGTCCTCCTCCTTAGTGTAGGTAGGTAGGTTGGTCGACGTGCGACGTGTGGTTGGTGACACTGGAGGTTCGGAGTGCGGTGCTACCCTCCATACTTAGTATTAGTGTGTAGATGGTATGAAACTGTAGCAGTAAATGCCCGGCTGTGATGATGCGCTGCCCTTGCAACCACGTGTTGAGCCTGCAGGTGAGATACACGACACTCTTCCGTCATCGAGCAAGGGTGGAATCCTGGATGTGACCATTTACTTACTCGACGAGGGGCCAATAGCATCATTGAGCCGTTGGGTGAAGGCGTAATCGCTTGTCCTGCCATGTTGTAAGGTAGGTTGCCCGTTTCTGCCCGTTATTATGAGCATGATTGAACTGCAGACGACGAATCGCCAGGCCAATCAATGGTCAGGCGGGAAACGGTGAGGGGACGGGGGACGGGGGCCGAGAGTCTGGAGTCGCCAGCTCGGCTGGAGATGCTCGCATTGGGTGTTTCCGAACCGAGCCTAGCATTCACTTACAGCTTACCTACTTCGTAGAGTATGTACAGACTATGTATGGTACCGTAGCTGTAAGTACCTGTAGGCAGAGCTGTATGAAATGTAGGATCGCCGTCTCGGTGGTCAACATAAGTACTCACACACACTTACTTACACACGCATGAACGCGACGGTGCCACGTGCTAGATTCGATTAGGTATGTGAGAGTGATCATCATCCTTGATCGCTTTTGTTAGAGAAGGCGAGATGAGAAGGGAGAGCTGACTGCGTCTGATATCGCGCGTCGATCCTTCAGCCGTAACTGAAATGAACACATACCACTACTTATGTATGTATGTCGCAAACGTGGACAGGTTCTGTCTGGTATGACTCTGGTGACCAGGAATGATTTAATCAACCTCGCAGACAATTACCTGTGTATCTCATACCTAGTACGGGCATTGCCATGGCAAGTTCCCTCCAGTCCAACATGAAACAATCAAGATACCTACCTACAGAGTAGAATGAGGGGGAGGCATGGTGGCACCGCCCTATCTACCCAGCGTGTGGGAGGGAATCTGACGAACGGAGGATGATGACAGCATAGATGTGGAGGGGTATGAGGACATGGAGATGTCTACTTACATACTACTTATAATGTAGTACCTAGTTTCAAGATTGATCCGTCGATTCTCGTTTCTTGCTAGGCAGCCCCTCACGACATGTTGCTCGCATAACCGCCCTCTCTCATCTCTCTCTTTTTGTTCACCCAAAAGGGCCAACTGAAGATGCAAATGGGGATGACAAGTCGCATCGATGGCGCCCGTGCTCAAGCCATTGGAATCAGAGTTTCATACAGAGCGTATGTTTCTTGCAAGTTCCGAGTTCCATCTACACCGAAACGGGTAAGTTCTGAGAGTCTAGAGCAGCTAGAGTAAGTTATGTACATAGGCACTGCAGGTAAGCTAACTTCAAAGCTAACGGCGGTGCTGTGAACGAAGATCTGCATTAATATACTTACCTACAAGGTAGAGCTCCTCCACCAGGTTGCATTATTTGAAAACATGGCTACACACAAAAAGGAGGCTACTGCCAATATATTCTTAAGTACGTAGGGGTAGGTACCTATTTATGTTTGTACTGTATGCAGGCATCAGTGTGTGTTGTATATACCTATACTAGGTATCTCTTCACTGCTCCGTATCTAGGTACTTAAATAGTATTTACTTGCTTGATCTCAGGGGCGCTGCCGACTTTGGTGAGTCACAGTTGTAAGTAGTCTCGACAAAGTCAATACTTCTCAAGATGAGACCATATACTTACTATCCCGTTGCCTTGGAACAATCCAGAACACGAGATTTCCTGTGAGATTAGAGGTACTTAATGTAAGGTAAGGTAGTATGAATGGTATCACTTTAACCTCTACGAAACCTCCGTGACCTAATTTAACCCAATTTTTTAACCCCTGGCCTATACTACCCCTGTTTTTTAAAGTGACATTATTGCAACTTAAGTATACCCATATCCTTCGCTATTGCAATTAGCTCTTTTTTCAATTAATAATATAGCTTTAATTAAACTAGTTATATCTTTAAAAAGCCTTAATTTAATATTATTTATAGGTTATTTTAAATTATATAGTTTTATATAAAAATAATATAATAAAACTTAATAAAATTAAAGGTAGATAAAGGTATACTTAAACTTAATATCCCCTTATTTATATATATAATTAACCTAATAGCCTTTTAATTATTAAACCTTTTAAATTATAAAGTTAAAGTTTTTAACCTTTTAAGCACTTTAATTAACTTATTTTAAGCCTTTTTACCACTTTAACTTATTATTAAATAAATTAAAAATAGTAATTTTAACATTATAAAAATTTATTATTTTTTAATTTACTTTATTTATATAGGCTTATATAATGAAAATAGCTTTAATAATTATTAAAGATAAGGAAACCTTTATTTAAAGTATATAATAGCTATTATAAGTAGGTTAAATCTTAAAGGTTAAGTATAATGTTATAAATCTCTTTAGTTTTATAATAGGTATTTAATAAGATTAAAGCTTAAAGAAGGGAAGAATCTCCTTTAAAGTATATATAAAAAGGGTATATAATATATATAAAGTATATATATTTTAAGGGCCTTAAGATATTATAATATAATAACTATTCCTTTTTCTTTAATTAGGTTATCTTTAACTTAATATATAATTAATTTATTAATTAAATATAAAATAAAAAGTTTAATTATATAAATATATAATGTTAAATATTATAATAAATGTATTAATATAGTTTATTTATATAAAGTGTTATTATAATAAAGGTATATAGGTATTAAGCTTATATTTATTTTATAAATTATATATATTATATATTGCTTTTATAGTAAAATTTATATATATATTTCTATTAATTATTTATTAACTCTTTTTCTTTTTTCCTTTTCTTTTTTAATTATTATTAATTTTAAAAATTAGTTTTAATTAATAATTTATTATTTTACTTTTATCTTTACTTCGTTTTCCTTTATTTTTTTATTATATTTATATTATTATTACTATTATTTAAATTATACCTTTTAAAGGTAAAAAGGGTAAGGGTAAAGCTTAAGCTTTAAAAAATAACTACGTTATATATAGCAATAAAGGTAAAGTGCTATTATTATTACCACTATTTAAATATAATAAAGATATAAATAAAAAATGTATTAATAATAAAATACCTATATTATTACTATTAGTATTATTAGTATTACCTTTATTAAGCAGCAATAATAATAATAATAATAATGGAAAAAGCAGTTTAGGTTAAAGCTATAACGGATCTGCCAACCTTCCGCTTAATAATTATTCAAGCTATAGGGGTAATTTGGATATTAAGGGTAAAAACTTCTAAAAAAAACGTAAATAATTTATAAGGATTAAAAATTAACGTTATAAAAAGTATATAAATCCTATAGCTATATTATTAATATTAATATATTATAGGTATAACGCATCTCCCACTTGACCTGGCCACCCAATTGACCTGGCCACCCCCCTAGCCCATACAAATAACGTCGGTGCGCTAATCACGTGATAATTTAATAACTCTACGAATATTGGTCGTATAAAGTAATAAAATATACCGTTAGATTCGTAATAAAAAGAGCTATTTAACGGTATGCCTTACTAACTTGTACAACTTATATTCGCGGAGTTATTAAGCTATACGCTAAAGTAAGCGCTAAATTAATCCTTGCTTAGCGCCCCTTTAGCGTATTGCTTAATATCTCGCTTAATAAATTTTATAAAAAATAGTAAAAAATACCTCTGGATTCCCCTTTAAATAACAGATTTAAAGGTTTTAATTATTAAATTGTACGAC